AAGTCAACCTGATATAATGTTTTATCAATGATAAGTTTCCTGATCATTGTTATATTGTTGACAAGGCATATAGAAGAAATAGTTTATGTTGAACAACCACCTGGTTTCATCAATGATAAGTTTCCTGATCATTGTTATATTCTTGACAAGGCAGTTTATGGGTTAACACAAAAACCTCGTGCTTGGTATGCGACTCTTATTACCAATTTTTGGAAAATTGCAAAATTTAAGCAAGGATCAGTTTATCCCACTTTGTTTCGAAAGAAATCACGGGATCATCGTATGTTAGTTCAAATTTATGTTGATGACATTATATTTGGTTCAACTGATCCTTCATTGTCAAAGGAGTTTGAGGAGCTTATGAAGATTCAATTCGAAATGAGCATGATGGGAAAGAGAAATCATTTCTTGGGTTTAAATATTCGTCCAAGAAAGGAAGGAATTTTTATCAACCAAGAATATTACACTCGAAACCTGCTTGAAAGATTTGGAATGACGAATTGCATGCAAGCTAAAGTACCCATGGCAATCGGCACGTTGGATAAGCCAGTTGTTGATATCAAAACATATACAAGCATGATCGGTTCACTTTTGCATTTAACTGCAAGTCAACCTGATATAATGTTTTATGTGTGTAATTGTGCCAAGAATCAAGAAAATCCAAGAGAACCTCATCTTACTGCAGTGAAAAACATCCTTCGTTACCTACATGGAACAAAGACTCTTGGTATGTGGTATCCCTCAAAGATAGGATTCTTTATTCAATCTTTCTCAGATGCGGATCTAGGGGGTTTTCAATTAGATCGAAAGAGCACAATAGGAGGATGTTAATTTCTAGACGGGAAACTTGTGAGTTGGCAATCGAAAAAGCAGACATGCATATCAAAATCGACTGTTGAGGCTGAATACATTGTTGCTGCAGCGTGTACATCTCAAGTGATCTGGATCCAAAGTCAACTACGTGACTATGCGATTAACATGAAGAAAATTCCATTGTATTGCAACTCATAATCCAGTTCAACACTCGAAAACTAAACATATTGCTCTTCGTTACCATTTCATCAAAGATTACGTAGAAGATGGGAATATTGAAGTCCATTTTGTCAAAACATCTTATCAAATTGCTAATATTTTTACAAAACCATTAGACGAAAAATCATTTTTAAGAATCTTAAATGGATTGGGAATGATGGAAGCTTGTTATGTTCCACATTCTACATAATTTGTCTTGGATTTAAAATGTGAATATATTGGACTTACTTTCGATTGTTAGATTAACTTTCGATTGTTATCTCACTTTCGACTAGTTAGTATAACTTTCCAGTGTCTTACTAACTTTCATTACATGTATGACGTTAGTTCAGAGGTTACTGTTTACATTCAACATTCACATGCCTTTGCATTCGATTTTCCTCTGACTCATTCAGTGTCGGTCTCGTGTATTGAGTTAGTCTTTAGATGTGAAGTACATGCCTTAGGTGAAGCGCTTATCTTTGAGATATTTCTTTAAAGATCAGAAAACATTGGTTCGCATGCGAAGTATTTGTTATCTCTAACAAATAACCAGTGTTTGTAATATCTTTTTTCTTATTTTTTGTTCTTTCGTTTATAAAATACGAAAATCCAAAAAAAGATTTTCTTATTTTTTTCGTTTATAAAATTCAAAAATCCAAAACGATTTTCTTATTTTTTTATTTTCTTTATAAAATTCATAATCCAAAAAGAATTTTTTTTTTTGCATTTATAAAATCAAAAATCCAAAAATATTTTCGTTATGTTTGAATTTTCATTTTCAAAAAATTGAAAAACACATAAATACTTTCTTTATTTTTTTGGAGCTCATTGTAACAACATGTCGTTCTTTTGCATGCCAACTGAGCAAATTCAAAGGGAAATTGTATGATACAAAACTTTTGTACTGGTTAGGTGTCCCTAGAAGCATGCTGCAGAATGTTGTCCACCAGCCTCATAGACTCTTTATGTTCGAAGCCTTAATGAAAATTTTCACACAAAAGTTTCTTCCCAATAAGGTTGTATTCACAATAGTCGAAGAGCTACCATTCTCTTCTCATGTTGAGTAAAGAGATTTCTGCTAAGTCAATTTTCGTAGAGGTACAATGATTTTTCGTATCCAATCTTTTTCACCCAAAATTTCTAACACGATCCCACACAATGACACATGCCCAATACATCTCTGGTCGAAACCAACTAGGATATAGGTATGTCACAAATCTATGTTAATGGTCCTAAATCATTCTTCCGTGATGAAGGTGAAACCCAACAAATCTCAACTTTATGAATTAACGGTGAACATTTTAAGTTCAAGATTATCACAAAACATTTATGTGCCACTTTCGATGTTCAAAATCTCATTTTCATTTCCATTGTGTGAACTTAATGAAATGTACTCATCCCAAGTAGTTTCTACCCAATAGATCCAGTTTTAAAATTTTCATGAACTGAGATTTCCGTTTGAACATCTTTCTCAAACTTTCGTTACTTCAAAATTTTCAAAGCTTACTTGTTATTTACTACACTGGTCATCCAAGTATTTTTGCACAACTCTTTACACTTATGTCAAGCTGTAAATTTGTGTGAAAATGAAACCACCCTTGAACCTTATGCAAAAGAGGCCCTTCGATCCTCCTCAATGAGTTTTCAATTGTAATTCATTGAAAACCACACAAGCAGTTCGTCATCTCAGTTGATGTCGAATGAAGCATATCTTTGCCCGGGATCTATCTGCTTTTATATTAAAGATTCTTTGATATCACAATTCCAAAAAAATATTTTTCTTTATCTTTTTCTTTGGCATACTTATGCACTGAATTCATTGAGGTTTTGTGTATTACCAACTCGAAACTTAGATTTTGCAAAGTCTGGAAAATGATTTCGCTTATCCTTTCCATAAGTGAATGAGCCCAGCCTCCATAACTAAGGATGGTTCTATAGTTGTATCGAAAGTCATGGCGGTTCATTTCTGATTGGGGGATGCGAAATATCCGTTGGATGGGACAGTTCAAGATTTTCACGAGGCTCGAGGCAAAAGTGATCATCACTTTTATACGTGGCAATTTTCTATGGTGATGGTTAAGTAACCAATATTCCATTTGGCATTATATCACTGGCAACGATTTGTATTCAAATTTCACGCAAGTTATTTAAGAAATTACTCATTCCAATTCCAATTTTATGCTCCCAGAATTCTCTCAAGAACCCTAACTGTTCATCGTAAATTGTCTCACAAAAATTCTCTCAATCTACTCAAATGGCTGCAGAGCAAGACATCATTGATCAATTCAATACCAATGACAAAGAGGTTTCACAACTGATGATGAAGATTCAACACACCAAGATCTGGCTTAATCCCTTGCTTGATGCTTATCCTGAAGAACTACGAATGATCGTCTTGGTTTTGAACAACTTTTTTATTAATCATGCTTTGTCATCGTCATTTGCAATTTCGATGCAATGGTTGTCTTTGGCTGCTTCTACTGCCGTTTACAAAAAAAACCACGAAGGTTGTTACATTTCAATTGATGTCCAATAAAACAAAGAAACTTACCAAAAAGCAATTTGCCCAAATCTTGAAGTTACCTTCTACAGGTACATTTTATGATGTGACCACTAAACAAGTTATTCATATGTTTAATGAGATGGGTCATCAACCCACTTTATCCGTTATTAGTCATTTCAAGAAGCCCAACTTAACATGTATTTGGAGTTTCTTCTTTGGCATTATTCTAAGGTGCTTAACAAGACCAAGTTCAGGGTTAGACAAGGTGAAGCTTGAAGTTTACTCAATTATGGATGGGTTGTATTATAGACTAGACGTTGATTATGCATCCTTGTTGTGGGAAGAATTCGGTAATTCAATTTCTCATTCAAAACTAGCAACTGGAGTTTCGAGTACTAAGTTTTGGGGATTAATTTTGAGGGAAGCGTATACTCCAAAAAATGTTCTTTTTCCTACTGATGTTGATATAGCTGAGTTTCCCTCAATGACGGTTCCAAAAGTTGTGGTGGATGATGTTACGATATTCCCAATGGTTTTTAGGATTTCTGATTCGATGCTCAAGTTAATCAATCGTACGCATCAATTGTTGATTCAATATCGAGCTTCAATGGATTCCACTCAAACTGGTATTCTTTCACCAAAACCAACATCTAAAGGAGTTGAAGGTTCATCAAAATCATCTAAGGGTGAAAAGAAAAAGAAACAAGAAGAGAAGTCCAAAGAAGTAGAAGAAGAAGTGGTTAAAGAAACTGTACCCACAAAGACAGTAAAAGGGGTAATCAAAAGAACACAGAAACCTGCTAAGAAACCATCTGACTTTGAAACCACGAAACCCATAAAAGAGCCTCTAGTCGAAAATTTTGAGCCGATAGCTGAGAAAGTTCCTACGGAGAATCCTGCTCCTATTGCAGAAACACTTACACAAGAAGGAAAACCTGCTGCAAAAAAGGGTGTTTCCAAGAGGGTTAAGAAGCTACAGTTTACACGAAGAGGATTTGTGATTAGAGAGTTTTCGTCTCCTAGTTCTCCTACATCAAGAAAGACGAAGGTACTAGAGGCGGTACAAAAGTTAAAGAAGCGAAAGCTAACTCCTGTTCAGGATAAAATAGCCAATGTTATTGTGCAATCAGAACATGACAGTAATGGAACAGATATAGAAATAGAAGGTTCATTTCATGTGTCACCATGAAAGGATACCTCTATCAAATCGACTATGAAGGTGACAAGTAATCCTGATGTCAATGCAAACATATCTAATACAGATATAAACATCAATTCTGGTGCACATCAGAACACAACAATCCCTAAGCAGACGAAATTCATACCACCCGGGGTTTCGAATATTGAGTCTATTATGGCGGAGGTCGAAATTACAGACATCACTATGAACTTATCTGATAAGGATACATATGTCAATATGATTTAAGGGATGCACATTGTCGAAACAACAACAACAACAAAAACAACAACAGTCGAAACAACAATGGTTACAACAACAATCGAAACAACTGTTGTTTCACCATCAGAACCTACTTCTCCACCACCTACATCTCTTACTCCACCATCATCTACTACAACATTTTCTCCTAATTTTACTGGAGTAATGCAAGAACCTATTGCTACTCTTTTCTCATTTCAATCAACCGAACCTGAGAAGACCATTCATGCAGCTGAAGCAGATGATGATGATGTTATGGTTCCGTTCACTGAGTTGCAGTTCAACCCTAAAGAAGAAGATATACCTAATGAGTTCATTTCAGGTAAACAGTTCATGATTCTTAACTCCAAAACGAATTCTATTCTTTAATTTTTGGCTGATACTGGAGTTGAAGTTGAACATTTTTTCAAATCCCAAGAATCTCGAATGAAAACCTTCATTGGAAATGTTGATAGGCGATATGAATAGAGGATGGCAACTCAGTCTTGAAATTTTAATCATGAAACTTCTAAACTTTGTGATGTTGCGAAAGAGCGGCATGAACTCTTTGTGAAACAAGTGTCTGAAACAAAAGCTTCTCTTGAGCTTTAGGTTAATGAGCTTTGAACCTTGATGGCTAAAGAGGTTAAAAAGTTAGATGATAACTACAATTTGCTTCATAAAAAGGTTGATGTCGTGGAAAATGCAACAACGCGCCTGATAGAAGATATTACTGCCTTCAACAAAGATTATTCAAAAGATCTCAAACTTAAGATTGAGAAGGATGACAAGGTGTTTGAGAAAGTTGAATACTTTTTATCTGATTTTAAAGAAACATTATCGAAAGTTGATCTTTCGACTCAATCTTCTATTTCTCAAGATTCCATTTCTGCTATGATTTTGAACATCGAGTCAAGTATCAAGCCAGAATTGGCTCCAATCCTAAATTTGGTACTTCGACTACCAACAAATGCTCCATGTCCAATGCACGTCTCGCAAGGGGGAGATAGAGGTGTTAGTGTTGGTTCATCTAAGGGATCTGGTGAAGATACAAGAGCGGTTGTGGGGAAAGTTACATCTATGAAAAATCCAACAACAATTCCAATGAACCCCATTATCACATCATCAACAACAACCACTACAACAGGGAATCTTTCACAAGGAAATGTTGATCAGTCGAAAGTTCAGAACTAAGGGATTTCGATTAATGAAGGAGCTGGAGGTTTGAGTTCTGCTCTTGTCAAATCAACCTCAAATGTTGATCCCGAAGACAAAGGGAAAAGCATTCAAGTTGAACAAACTGCCGAGAAGAAGAAGAGATTACAAGCAATAAAGATTGAAAGATAAAGGAAAATAAATAGCATTCTGAGTCAAAGGGTGAATGATCCACTAGGCTTGAACAAGGGTGATCCTAACAAGAATTGGTGTTACGAAACAATTAAGATTGTTGTACTTGGTAAGAATGATGAATTCTTGAAAAAGGCCTAAGAAAAGTATGATGCCGAGAACTCATAATCCAATCAACTTGATTTCCCAATCAACTTGATTTCCCAATCAATCATCTGTTATTTACGTCTTCTTAGTTCAAAATAGCTGACAACTTCAACGTCAAAGACGAATACAAGATATTGAACATTGCTTTCATGCAATCTTGGGAAAAAACGAAGACGAGGTTTGGTTATTGGTAAAGATAGCTAAAGTGATGTCGATAGTGCCTGATGTGTTATTCGAGGGATTGCTGCAGTACTTCCAATATTCTGTTGTAAGGGAAAATAATGTGGCATTTGAGTTCACAATTGTAGAATTTCCTTTGATGAATCTGAATGATCTCATCACTATATCAAATATTTTATGCAATGTTGACGTTTTGAAAGTGGCAGAGGTGAATAGAGATGCGGTTATTCTTGGATATGGTCACATCAAGGCATTTCTTGATTGTTACTGTGAGTATTTGGCAATTACAGACATAGATCTTGTCTTGGAAATCGATAATACTTCAAAGGTGCCTCAATTTTTATTGAAGGGAAGGATGAACATTGATAAATTTGAAGATGGTGAGATTATTCATCAACCTTTTGGCGTTGTTTTCCAAGGAAAGAACAAGAACGACAAGTTGAAAAAACTTTGTTCCAAATGAATGATATTGAGAGATAAACAAACTCTCATTTTTCGAATCTTTTAATCCGTATGAATAACTGCAAGAGGAATGACAAGGAAGACAAAGCAGAGATTCGAAAAATCATTCTTTGGTATATAGAGATTTGGAGAGAGCTGTTACAGATAATGAAGATTATAGCTTGAAGTTTCAACTATTCTTACTAAGGGGGAGATTGTAGAGTCGGAATTTGTAGTGAGAGACGAAAGCTATATCTTTAGGTTTTGTGCCTGTAAATAACGAAATTTAAATACTTTCGTTATCTAAGCTATTTATAAGGCAACTACAGGTTTCGATATGTATGGTCAAGTCCTTATATTTTTTGTACGTATGATGTACCCTATAAATAGGGTAAGTGCTTAGTTATAGGGTAAACAACACTCTCTGATTACTCTTTGTACTCTAAACCTTTGTACTATTTCCAGACATAATCGGAGCTAAACAGATCATATTTAGATCTCGGTTTTCTTTATCGCTTTCATATATTCGATTGATTCAAACATTATATCTAACACTCATCACAAAATATTTCAGATTAATTTTGGATATTTGAAAGAGTATAATTTTATCTTATAATCAAAATAAAAATAAAAGTAAGGATTCCCAAATTCTAACGGATAGAGAAATTTAAATTCTAACGGACATAATTCTAACCGTTAATGTAGGCATGATTATCTATCAAATCATTTCTCTCTCTTCTGTGATCTTCGCATAAATAGGCCACTTGGGTTCCTGATTCTTCTTTACTTCTTCTAGCTCTCTTTCATACGTTATCAGTTATCTTTAAAGGTATTCTTCCTTCTCTTTTCTTCTTAATTTTATTTCTCTTTGATCATGGGCAAGAAGGCACTCCGTTCTCGTGCTAGCATTATTTCTCCTTCTGATGAAGACTTCATCAATCAAAAGATATTGTCTTACGATGAGACTTGTTATTTTGATGATGACGATATCGAGTCTTTGAAATCAGTTGGGTTTTTCTAGCCTATGTTATTTTCAAGCCTTTTGATGCAAGGCTTAACCAGACTTTGTGTCTCCTTCCTGGGCTTGCTTTCCAGAATACCCATTTTCTTTGGGTTTTTCATACCCCCTTTTTTGGCATCATTTCTAAGTTCTTCAAAGTCACCAAAATTTCGTACCTCCAAGCCATGCCTGTAATTTGGAGGATCCTGTCCTGGGTTGATCGATTGAATCAATATAATGATCAAGACATAGGTCTAGCTGAGTTGTCCCATGTCTATTAGCTTTCAACTTTTGGGAATTCTCGTTTCCTGCTCAAAGTTAAAGTTAATAAATTACCTCTTATTCTGAAATCGAAACACAATGACGGCACTTGGAAAAACATATTTCTTTGTGAGGCGTGACTCTATCCTCCATGAGGATCTCCTGCTAAAAACATGTATTAAAAAGGGTAGGATCTTATTTTGTTATATTAAGGATCCTCGAATTCACACTTCGTTATTTTATTTGTTTTGATGCAGCTTTCAAATTCAAGGATCTCGTCCCTACCGCTGAGGATACAGAGGAGAAGATTGGGAGTTTCCTTGCTTTTCCCGAGACTGAGAGATCCTTCAAGCTTGTACAACCTAGCATCTAAGAGAGTTCCAACGCTACAGTCCCAATGTTGACTGGTAAGGATCTCTTGTCTGTTTATTTTATTTTAAGGATCCTACACTGATGAAGACTCTTCATAATTTTCAGGATCCAAGGTTACATACTCTAGCACCTGTTTCTCCCTTTCTAATCTTGATACGACCATGTCTAGTGGCCAGCTGGCGGTGAAGAAGGAGAAAGCCTTATCTTCTCTTCTTTCGAAGAGAGCCTAGATTGATCTAAATGTAAAGACTCCAGGATCCTGGAAGACGAAGTCAACTAAATCCTTGGATTTAGAGAACCTTGGGGTGGACGAGGCGCTGAGGTAGATGATCTCTTTCTCACAATCGGTAAGTACCTTCGTACCTTTTTCTTTTTTACTTCAATTTACTTATCCTAGTCTTTTACAAGTTGTTGATCACGTCTCTCAATCCATTGAGGATCTCAAGGTTAAGCTTGACCGGGCAGAACATGCCTTGAAAGAGAAAGAGGGGATCAACAGGGAGATTTTGTAGAGGGTGGAGAAGTTGAGCAAGCAGAAAGCAGAGAAAGAGGAGGAACATGCGCTCAAGATAGAAGAGGTGATTACTGAGGTTAAGAGTAGCGTCGTTGAAGCCATATGGGAGGCGAAGATCAAGATGGCGGAGGATGTGGAGAATGCAGGGTCCTAGAATGTGGTCGGCTGGTGTAAAGGGCTAGCTAACCTTACTGGAAAGCTTGTTGATGCCGGTCAGGATCTTGCAGAGAAAAAGAAGAAAAAGGAGGACGAGAAGAAGAGGAAGGAGATATAGAAGACCCCATCTAGGGGTTATCAAGCCTTGAATTAGGTTTGATAAACTTTTAAAAAATTATTTTGGTTTGTAAGACAATATTTCCCTTTTTTGTTGGGTTGGAGGGCAACCCTTTTATTTAAATGCTTTGGTTGCGCATATATTCTCTTGTGTGGTTGACGTTGTTGTAGAGAATGGGGTTAAAGAAGGTTCTTCTAAGGATTTTCAGATGATTAGGATCCTAAGAGTTTTAGGGTTTACACAAATTCTTTGGGATCCTAAATATTTAAGGCAAATAGCTATTTGATCAGGATCTTGAAATAGTCAGGATCCTGTGATTTAAAAAAGATAAGTTTTGATTTGAAAGTAGGAAATCCTTAAATTTTCATTAGAAGATAAGGATAAATAGAACCTGGTGAGAGCTTCTTCTTTGGATTTCCATTAGATTTTTAGTTATTTCTTTAAACCTCCCTTTAGGATTCTGATCTAGGAGAAGTATTTTTCATTCCTGAGGCTCGAACTGAGGAGAGTCCTTTTAACTTCTCAGAAAAATTTCAACTTAAGAGTTCATTGGGATAGATCCCAACTTAGAATTCACTAGATACCAACTTAGATTTTAACTGAGGAAGATCCCAACTTTAGAATTAACTAGAGAAGAGACCAACTTAGATTTAACTGATGAAGATCCCATTTCCTAAGAAAATATGACAATGTTATAAACCATAGATTAAACTTTAGGATCTTAACATATGTTCATAAGTAAGAGGGTTGCCAAGTCACTAAAGTGTGAAATGATCTTTTTACCGAAAAAATTAAATTAATTTAAAACTAACTTTTGATTTTACATATGTTGGATTCTTAAACATTCATCAAACAAAGAGGACAACATCTTATACAATTAGGATAGAAACCCTTTGGTTCATAATATATTTTTATAGGGATAATGACTTAAAAGGGTAATATACCTTTTAATTTGTATAGATTTGGTTACTGGATTTATTTTTTGTCCACATTTAACCATTTAACTTGTTTTTCAATCCACATTTAGTCCTTATAACCGGCTACTCCAGGTTAAGTCAGAAAAATGACTTAATAGGGTAACATAATTTTTAGTTTGTACACATTTAGTCCTTAATGTTTTCGTACTTAGTCCGTGTGACCGGTTTCTTCAAATTTTGCTTACGACATCCTACGTATGACAATCATTAATGGGGTGTTCTCCTACATGGCTCTTCCTTCACTTATATTCGTAACCTAATTCACGAATCGGTCAAATAATATTGGTGTCCAAGTTTTCTCCAAACAGAAAATGTCTTTGTCTTCGGTTCCATCTATATCTATAGTAGACAACGAGATTCTTGTGATTGCTTCCTCCCAACTCAAATTTGCACTTCCCAAACAAAATAATTAAGGAAGACGCTAAATGAATTTGCACTTCCACTACAAAAGAACATCCTGACAACAAGTTTCATCTATATCCATAGCAGACAACGAGATGTCCACAAGTGGTGAGTACGTTACTTTATATTTATTTTTTTGGTTGTTTAGTTTTAAGAATTGATATGCTATGAATTAAGTTTTTTTGATGAGTTTTTGATACTGCATTCTAGGTGTTTGATAAAATGTCCATGAGAATTGATATACTTAATAGTAGATAAATATGATAAATGAGAACAAGG